ACAGCATCTTATTTCCTAGGATAGTAGAAATAGTTTCAATTTCTGCCTAACTCTTCCTGGAAAAAGAACAAAGATTTGTACTACAGAAAAGTTAAGAAACATATTTCACTCATATGTGGGTTATAAAACTGAAATAAACAAATGTACAAGACAAACAAAATGGGAGAGGGGTATAGTAAAGGATAAAAGAGGTCAAATATATGGTGACAAAATATTTGACTTTGGATAGTGAACACACAATGCAATATACAAATGATATATTATAGAATTGTATACTTGAAACCTATGTCATTTTATTAACCAAATAGTGGCCCATTGCACAAATTGTGCACACTGAAAGGAATTTAATTAGAAGAAATATTTTAATATTGTTATTCGTCCTTTCTCTATAATAGAAGTGTCAACCAAATTCACCATCAAAAATGACAAATCGAAACACATGCATGTGACTGGTGCCAACAAGAGATTTATTTGTATCGCACATGTGTGAGTCAACTTAGCCTTTTATTTATATATATATATATATATATATATATATATATATATATATATAAAATAAATTTGATTAATTAGACCTGCTTTCTGATTTAGCTAACCTTTTTCCTGTCCAATGAAACACCCCAACTTCTCTTTCAGGTAATTGTCAGCAACACAGAAATAAATATCAACACGAAGCAGATTATTATTGTAGATCATGCAGGGAGAACAAAGGGTAAAATATTTAATTGTAGCATTTATTTGACTATATTCTGTGCAACGAGAAAACCTGAAGTCATTTTCAAGGTCCACCATTCCTTACTTCTTTTTCAGTCGGGTTGTTTCTAAACTTTATAAATCTCCATTTTCCAACTAATGAAAAGAAAATAGGATTCTACTGAATCTCCTGTTTACCTACTCCAGGACTTCTGTGAGGATCAAATGAGATGAGGCATGGGAAAACGCTTCATAAATATTTGGTTAAAGTGTAAAATATCTGCACCTGGCTATAAAGCAAGTCATGTCCCTAGGCTGAAGAAACTCAAAGGAGGCTAATTGCTAGGGAGAGGAAGCCAGGCATTGCTATGTGACATCATTACCCGGTGGCCACAGCAACCGTTTCCAGGCTGGATTGGGCTATGGGCCGCATTTTGTGCCATGGCAGCGTCAGATGTGATTTGGTGGGCTATCGCTCTGGGGTGGTGGCAGGGGGGAAACTGAGTGTTGCTTTGTGGGCACCAGCTCCGTGGTGCCATTTCTCTGTAAATGGCCAGTGCACGTCACAGCAGCTCCTGCATTGAGCATCTGCCCCCTGGTAGTCAGTGTGCATCATAGCAACCAGTCAGGAGTGCAGAGGGACACTTAGCATATTAACCTTTTTTATATATAGTTAGATGTCACTCCAATAAATGTGATAATTTTTTTTTTAAACCTAGATCAACAAAGAAGGCTCTCTATTGCACCAGATACCTGGGCCAACACACCTGACTAGTGCATTACCCTGGACCACCGCACTCAACTTTCGTTACAACACCTCTACACATTTTCTCTGCCTTGATTTTCTACTGAAATGAGACCCCTGAATCAAGGAAAGAAGTCAGGTGATAGGAACAAAAATGCACAGCTATACTAACTATGCATCACCACTATCGTAAATCTTCCCCAACGGGAAGCTTATGCTCTGGTTTCCTGTTTGCTGTCCTTGAGAGAGTAAGCGATGCCAAGTCACAGAAACCTATAGTACTTTGCTTCCCATTTCCCTACAGCTATTCTATTTACAACTTTATTTTGAAATAGCTGACTTCACAGCTTTTGCCATTTAGTAACCCTTCAACATAAGGACCTAATATGAAATCCTTAAAATGAACTGAGTAGTCATCAAATACTCAGAAGTCCAAATTACCTAGACTGGTAGAGGTTAATGTTCTGCATTAAATACAAACAGAAAGTATCAATTTTGTACTCTGATTATGCCTGCCAAAGAACTGAGACAAATAAACACATAAAATATGATAGATGAGGGCAATAGGGTAGGAATACCATCACAGTTATTGAGAAAGGTCTAAGAAGTGGGCAAAGGTAGGTATGTTCTAACCTCCTTTCACCTCTACATACTTCTATCTGGACCTTCAACTCTCCTTTTCCAATGTAGAGTTGACTTAGAAATAACCTTTTAATATTTCATTCTATTTATAATTTTTATAGCCACATAACCACTAAGAGCTGTGCTACTGAGTGGGTATATGGCAGCAACCCAAGTATCTGGGATAACTAGAAAAATAATTATAAGAACACAGTTAAGTATCAATTTTAGATTTTCATTAACCTTGTCTTTCTACATGTTGGTTTATCAAATTAGTTCACTCTGAAAAATAGAAAATTAATCATATGTTTATGGAGCTTGGAATTCACCTTCCTTCTCATTCTATAAGTAAGGAACAGGTCTGGAATACTGTTATTTGATTAAGGTTAAAGTATAGTTAGTCAGGCAGATAGGATCAGGACATTCTAAGACTTTCCTTTATATTCCACAATCCTCAAAAGACAGCCTGAAATACCAGACTTTGTTACCCAGAGCACTTAGATACGCCAGAGGTTAAATCAACTACTTGTAAGAAGTAAAATGACCCACCTTAAGCCTTGGCCTTTGCTATAAAATAATTCCTAGGTGAGTCCAACAAAGTTATAAGGGGCCCCTTGAGAGGCAAAGAGCCTTTCAACACTATAGTCAGATTTCTTTGTTTGGATTCATAAATTATGGGCAAGAGATTTCAACTAGGGCATATTATGCGTTGGGTCCTAATATAGTATTACTGGTCATAGCATTAATATTATTTATAAATTTTATACTCTTCAGTATCAGCATTATTTCAAATAAAAATTCAAACTTGGTTCACAATCTGAAATAAAATAGGGTAGAAAAATCTGGTATTGTAGCTGCTTGAAAATTTTAAAAGACAGGTTTAAATAGATTACCAAGAGTTCAGTTATTATAACAAGTTGAAAAAATCTGTCTCAAAAAGTTTTAGCGCTTGTCATAGTTAAAACAAACTGCTAAAATGATGGCATTCTTTTTTAATCTTAAAGAACTTAACTTACCCATCTGTGATAGATTTTCCCATCATATCTTAAGATAGGTGACAATACACCATATTATTGGCAACCTATTAGAAAAAGCTCTCTTATAAAAAGCATAGTAAAATAATAGTAAATAACATTGATAATTTAAAATTATAAAATATAAAATCAAATAAGAGCAAGGGCTCAAACTGATGTTTGTACCTCAATGTTCATAAGAACATTGTTCACAATAGTCACACACAAAAAAAAAAAACACCGAAATATCCACTGCCAGGTAAATGGCTAAACAAAATGTGGTTTATAGATACAATGAATATTATTCTATCTTAAAAAGGAATGAAATTTTGATATACACTCTGTCATGGATGAACCCTGAAAATATTACACTCAGAAAAACAAATATTGTAAGATTCTGCTTATATGAGAGACCTAGAAAAGTCCAATTCATAGAGGCAGAAAGTAGAATGATGGTTACCAAGGGCTGGGAGAGGGGGAATGGGAAGCTATTGTTTAATGGGTATGAAAGTTTCAGTTTGGGATGATTAAAAGTTCTGAGATGCATAGTGGTGATGGTTGAATAAATATCTGAATGTACTTAATGCCACTAAATTGTAGACTTAAAAGTGGTTAATCATATGTATACCTTACATCAATAAAAAAGTATATCTAATGACAATACTAAGTGGCAAGTTCTTTTATGATCTTGGCCCATAAGACATATGTTCAAAAAAAAAAAATACAACAAAAAAGCAGTATCAGCCCCAGAGCCTTAGAAATATTAATATTTCTAATATACACCATCAAACAAAAAGACTTTGGTTCATCAACCCAAAGCCATTTATCCTGTGTATTCATTACTAAGATAATTAATGTTCACCATTAAATCAGACTATGAATACTACATTTACATTAAGCACACTTTCCAATCAACCAGAGAGAAAGACAGAAATGGAAGCAGTGGAATTGTGTCAACATATTGACACAGCAACCATCTGTTGACATTACTGTCCTCTGAATCCAAGGGACCAAAATCATGTGGTAGGGCAGGGAGCTTCACCTTAGTTGTGAAGCCCTACTTTCATGTCATAGGGCACTTCTGGAAGGAAGCCCTGTAATGGCCAGCTCTAAGTACTTGCAGATTTCCTACTCGTCCTACCAGGAAGTCATTCTTGTGTCTCACCTGCATGAGTTCCTGTTATGAGGCCAGGGGACTGGTGAGTTGAAATCCAGTTCCAGGGACTGATGTCATCTTGATTGAGCTATGATCCTGGTGACCTGTTCCCCATCCTGGTGTTGTTGCAGCCCTTCAGCTGGGGTTCAGGTTATAAGGGGACCGAAAAGGAAAAAGGGGGAGTAGGATAAGAGAAGAAGGAAAAATGCTTGCACATTTCCTTTGTTTCACTAAAGCATTTTCTGCTTCCATTAAATTTGATGGGAGGACCTGGCCAATGGCAGATGGCAGATGCTCTTGGAATAGGGGTGAGCTCTCACACATATCTCAAAATACAAAGGATTAAAACATACAGAAAGCTTTCATTATTTCTGGTAACTGCTAACTTGGAAATAGTGATTTATTCTCTTTTCTTTTAATAAAGTTAAAAAAAACATGCATTAATACTTTTAAAACATTTATAAGTTGTAAACAATGCATAACCACAGGACCTATCTTAGCAACATAAAGAAAAAATACAAATGTTTGGATATGTTCAAATATTCAGATTCTTTCTATGCAATGTCAAGTAGATTAGAATCCTATAAGTAATAAAATAGGATTGCCATTCAATTCCATTTAGATGAGATCCTTTGGTTCTTAGTATACCAAGTCAAAAACTAAAATGAAGTCAAGCATAAGACAGAAAAATTGCTAATTTTCAATATGATTGGGAGAGAAGCCTTGCTTTAAAACAATAAATTTAAGCAATGAAATGAAAGACAGATTTAAATTTTTACCACATTTATTTCACATCATGATTTCTTAGTCCTTATTAAGTTGATACAATATGGGGACATAAATATTCCCTCTTCCCTTTTTTGTTGCATATGTGTTAGTAGGGGTAGGAAGAACATAATATTAGAGAATAGGCCAAGGAAGTGGAAGATAGTCAAAGAGAAGAGAGTGTTTATATGAATCCTTCCATAAGCAGTACCAACCAACCAAGTACAAAGTTGATCCCATGAAGTGTTTTCTTTCCATGTGGACTTCTGAAAGCATGAAATAATTTGGGATCATATTCAACATATATTAATTATATAGCATGGTGATGCAAGTTTCTATCAGACATGATGAGTATATTCTTTTTTTCTCTCAGTTTTTAATCTCCACAGATGACATTATTCACGAAGCACTTTTTATATATTATTCAACACAAATTAACTTGGTCAGATAAACCAATCGTGGTTAGCAGAAAGCATGGTTAGCTGCCATGTAAAGGTCCTCCTGTCAAGTAGCACTTGATTGTACACTTGGAGTTTCATAACAGAGGAAGTTCTTGATGGGCATTCCTTTCAGTTGGGTCTATGATTCATCTGCAACACTGAGTGTCAATACAAAAAGGTCACACCTTCGTTAAAGATTTGTACAAAACCACCTCTTGCAAATGTACTGGTATCTTGTCCAGCTTGTAAGAAATTGTTCTCTGCTAGCCTTTTTATTCTCCGTTTCCTCGAAAGGGCTTTATCCCAATGCTTTGGTGCTTCCAAAGTGGCGGAGGCTGTGCTGCCTCTGTGCTGGGTATGCCTGCCCAGAGAAGATTAAAATGCATGCAGATAACCTGCATTAGGTTCATCTCGTCAGTTCTGCCCAATCCACAGGAGTAAAAAATGGGTGCGACTTGATATCTTCAACGCCAGCAACTCCAGCACCAAGACGCTCCACAGGATTGAACTGCAAGAGCTGAGAAAGAGGATTAGTGACTAACAGGAATCCAATGAGGAAAACAAAATATATGAAAGGAAAGTACTTGTAAATTCAACCCCAGCAGCAAATGAATAGCCAATTGACTATGAAAGGGAGAGGTGTCTAACATCACTCTAGTGGTGGCTTTTCAACTGATTTGAAACACGACCTTGGAGTGGATCACCTTGTTTCTCTCATCCTCATATAGTTATACTTGTGAATTCACAATTCCAAAAGTACAGTGAGACATTATTTTGATATTGCACCAAATTCCGAGAGGTCCAGTTACTCCTTTCTTGACTTGAAAGTTTGGGCAACACAGTAGTAAGTCTTTCAACCCCTAGTGGATTATATGTGTACTACTTCTAAACTTTACCTGAAGTCTGAATTGGCCAATTCGTATTCCAAAATTATTTTCCTTGGAATAGCTGACCCACATAGAATAATTCACTCCAATGAGTAAAACATATTTTGACTTATCCAATATTAGAATTTATGTATAAGTTAATAATATTATATGATCAGAATTGTTGAGTGTGGGAAAAACAAGTAGTCATATACAATTATTGTAGACCATAGGCATGCTGAAAGAATGTGTTTTGAAACATTCACACACCCTCAAATTTTTGTCTCAACAGCTTTAAGGAATAATTTATATAGCATAAAGTATACAAGCATAAGTATACAATTCAATGATTCTCAGTAAAGTTAAGAGTTGCGTAACTGTTACCACTATTCAGTTTTAGAACACTTGGATCACCCTAAAAAGTTTCCTCATGCTGTTTACAGTTAATCCTCACTTCTATCCCCCACCCTAAGCAACCACTGATCTGTTTTCTATCTGTAAACTCGTGGCTACTTCATGTAAATGGAATCATAAAATACATTGTCTTTTATAGCTGCTTTCTTTCACTTTGCATTATATTTTTTTAGAGTCATCCATGTTGTAGCAGGTATCAATAACCCATTCCCTTTATTTCTGAATATTCCACTGTTGGCTGTAAAACGTTTTGTTAATCTAGTCATCATGTTAATGGACATGTGACTTTCCAGGTTGAGGTCAATGAATACAATTGCTGTTAACATTTGTGTATATGTCTCCTTGTGGACTTTCATTTTATCTTATGGGCATTCCTAGATGTGCAATCATAGAGTCACGTGGTAAGTTCATGTTTAGCTTTTACTGCCAAACTTTTCTAAAGTAATTATACCATTTTATATTCCCACCAGTTTCTCTACATCCTTACTAATACTTCCTAGCATCTATCATTTTTATTATAGCCCTTCTAGTGGATATTAGTGGTATCTTATTATGGGTTAATTTGTATTCCCTAATGACTAGTGATGGCATTTTTCATGTTCTTATTAGCATTTCATATAGCTTCCTTGGTAAATCTTTGTCCATTTTTATAATTGAGTTGTCTGCTTGTTGAGATTTTAAGAGTTCTTTATAAATTCTGAATACAAGTCCACTAACAGCTATATGGTTTGCAAATATTTTCTCCCAGTCTGTGGCTTGTTTTTTCCTTTTCTTACTTATGTCTTCAAGTATAAAAGTTTTTTATTTTAATGAAGTCCACCTTATCAATTTTCCTTTTTGTTATCATGTTTAATAACTTTTCCTAATCCAAAGTTATAAAGATTTTCCAGTTTTCTTCTACAATTTTTATAATTTGTGCTCCCAAAGGTCTATGAGCTATTTTGAGTTAATTTTTACATATAATATGAAGGGTCTTAGTTCATTTTGGCTTTACATGTGAATATTTTATTTTCCCAGCACTGTTTGTTGAAAAGACCTTTTCACTATCAAATTATCTTGGCATCTTTAGTGAAAATCAATTGACAATCATGTATGGGTATATTTCTGAACTCTCAATTTCATTCCATTGATTTATATGCCTGTCTTTGCTCTAATAACACAATAAGTAATTACAGTGGTTTTATACTGACTAGAGATCAGGTAGTATGAGTCCTCTAACTCCGTTCTCTTTAAAATTATTTTGCAGCTTTGCCCAGTGGCAGTATCGTACCCAATGAGGTTTACCCAAGGTGCCATTATTACTAACTGAAAACTTAAATTAAAAAAAAGATTATTTTGGACAGTCTAGGTCCCTTGCCTTTTTATGTACATTTTGGAGTCAGCTAAGGTTTCCTAATTTTGCTGATCTTTTCAATGAACCAACTTGTAAATACCTTGATTTTTCTCTTATTTTTCTCTTTTCTATCTCATTGATTTCTGCCTCCTTTCTTCTGCTTGCTTTTTTATAGTTTCTGCTTCTTAAGGTACAAGGTAAGATTTTTACTTGAGATCTTCTTTTCTGACATAGGTGTTTAAAGTCATAAAGTTTCCTCAAAAACTAATTCAGTGCACCCTATAAATTTTTATATAGTGTACATTTGTATTTGCTTTTAGTTCATTAAGAACATTTTCCAGCTTCTCCTGGAATTTTTTTCCTTTCACTCATAGGTTGTATGTCATAGGTGTGTTGTTTAATTTCCAAATTTTTTAAAATGATTTTATTGATTTCAGCGAGCAAGAGAGAGGGAGATATAGAAACATCAATGATAACAGAGAATCACTGATAGGCTGACTCCTGCACAGTCCACACTGGGGATCGAGCCTGCAACAGTGTATGTGCCCTGACTGGGAATCAAACCATAGCCTCCTGGTTCATAGGTCAACGCTCAACCACTGAGCCACACCAGTCCAGCATAAAATATCAAATATTGATAAAATTAACTATGACTATCACATGTTTTTTAATATTTCAGAAAATGTAAATCCTTTCTTCTTTGTTACAATTGGCTTGTCCACCCTCATACTTTCTAAAACATGACCTAATTATGATATTCCAATAGAGGTTCATATTTTCATTTTACTGAAGTCAATTTACTTAGTTCATGGATTCTTCTATAAATTTGCAAGTATAAATCTAGAGGCAAAAGTATAATTGTTTTACTCATGACTATCTTGTTTATTCTGCCATTTTAAATACTATACCAGGCCACAAGAGAGATCATGCAAAGATTCCATTGCTTAAGAGAATATGTCAAATAGTGGCAAATCCAAGATAATCTTTCAACTAACATGCATGCTCTGAGGGTTCGTAAAATATAAGTACTATCCTCTTAAAAAACTGTATTTACTATGTTTACTTTAGTACCATTGCCCTGACTAAGATGACTGAACCATGGATTTTATGAAAGCTAGGAAAAAAGCAAGAAGGTGACAGACCAAAGAGGGGCAATCTCCCCAAAGCAGAATAGTTATTTCCATATAAATCATTCTGTGGGATTTTTTTAAATGGCCTCTATGACCTGTGAGGTAGTGGAAGAGGAAAGTCAAAGTGACAAATGGCTAATCATGCCAAGAGACCCCTCTTCCCTTTCCTGATGATGTTTCCCCAACCTGAGTGGTAGTTTCCTTAGGCAGGCGATGACAGAATGCTGATTTACGATATAAGCAGTAAGTATCCACATTTGGGGATTTAACATACCTTAAGCTTAGTCTCCTTTACAACTCCTTTATAATTTTTAATAAAAATGGGAACAACAGACCTTTATAAATTAATGTGGGAAATTCTATTCTAGATGTTATTCAGGGTGGGGAAAAGTAGGTTTATAGTTGTGAATAGGTAAAACATTGTTTATTCTTGTATTAGTTATTAATTATTGCATTATTTTTCCATAGAACAACTGTAAACCTACTTTTGTCCCACACTGTATAATAATGACTACATCTTTAAAGAAGAGAAACAAAAATTGGCAGTTGCTAGCCTTCTTTAAATTATTTACAAAAAAACACACAAAACCTCATTTTAAATTTACCTTTTTGTACCACAATAAGATGAAATCAAGTGAGTAACTGTCCTTTTCCCATTGAAATTAAATGTTTTATATATATCTTTGCATTATCTCTTAGTTCTTTTGCAAAATGCTTAGGGTATTCTCATCTCAGTATTTACAACCTGGTTATGCTGCTTTATATTTTCAGAATCTTCATAAAGTACAGTTCTGATTCTTTCACTCTTCTGTACAAAAATCTCATGATTTTTTTTCTAAATTAAATACTATCTCTCTATCATGGAATCATGATAATAGAACCCCATGGGAGAATCCCAACTTACCTTTCCACACTCATCACTATATACATCCCACCAAATTGAGTCTTTCAGACTTTTTTCTTTATTTATCCCACCTACCTATTTCTCCCACATCCCACCTTGTCATGCTGAAAACCTCAGGCTCCACAAAAATAACACCCACTACATGAAATGTTCCTTATACTACCCCTGTATCAACAATAACCCCTCTGTATTTTCACTTGCTAAAGTATTCTTTCAACCTGTATGACAGCCTTTATCACATCCATCTGAGATACAGTTTTTCATGTCTTACCTTTACAGCTTACAGCACTATGCCTTGCCTACATCTGTTGAATGGAACCAAAGTCACTCTTCAAGAGTATACTAGGTATTTCTCTTTTTAATATATTATATTAGCTCTTCCTCCCCTTTAAAAAAAAATTATTTTCCCTGATTAAAAAAAATTCATGGTTCATTAAACAAAAACTTTAGTTCTTACATTTTTCAAATAGCTTTTCCCTTTGTATTTTCATAGGAGCATACAGATCCCAGGCCTGACCGTTATTGCTGATTTGCTGTGAGCCCATCATACCACAACACTGACAATCCTCAGTGTACTCACCAAATCCATTATTCAAAACTAGAGGAACATTTTAAATGTAGGGAATCAATTTAAGAAGCTCACCAGAGTTTCAAGCCTACCTCCGAGATACTAAACTTTAATTATCAACTATAACTATCTCTTTCTTCAAAGCAACGAAAAAATGCACTGACACAAATGTCCAAGTTCCATCAATGGATGAAGCTAATTAAGAATGATATAACTGGGCAAGATTTTCTAACACCACTTCTCCCCTATGCAACCTGAGGAGTCTATTTCTAAGTTTATAAATATGGATTAAAGATTGAAAATAGCTATTCACATATAGTTAGAAAATGTAATAGCAAAAATAAAGCAGCTCCAGACAAGCTAAACGCAATACTTAAAAAGACTCCTAGGGGGACACTTTGCATATTAGGTATGTAGATAGGTAGGTAGGTAGGTAGGTAGGTAGGTAGGTAGATAGATAGATAGATAGATAGATAGATAGATAGATAGATAGATATAAACAGACAGACAGATACAATATTAGCCTAGATTTTTGAGAGAAAAAAATTTTAGTACCAATAAGCTTACCAATGCTTAGATAATAGCAGAAACTTGAAGATACACAGTACTAGTTCTGAATTTGCAATCAGTAATGGGTCTTTCTTGCCCAAAATTAATTTAAGGTTTTGGAGCTGCAGGCTGCTAATTTGCGCGTTTGACATACTTGGCCAATAGGTCAATTAGTTACCTGTTGAATAAGTGAGCGAGCCTCTTCAGAGACACAGTCTGGCATGTTCAAAGTAGTGTGAGTAGTTATTCCTGCTGGATGGCACTCAACCAGCGTCTGAAACAATCAATCAGGTACACTTCTTATCCAGGATTTATGGACAGTGAGTACAGAGAACTCAGCAATAGTCTTAACTGAAGGTGTAGCAATCAGCAGTGCTACCTAAGCAGTTTAGGACGAGGGCTCTAAGCCTACAGAACTTCTAACTGGAATAAAGGCAATCAGATAAATCACATCATAAGCTTATATTTCTAGTCCTTTTACCTTATTTATAAAGTGACTCATAAGTAGAAGAGCTTATATTTATACATAAAAACTAAACAGGGACTTTAGATAACTCTAAAAAATTATAATGTATTAAAAACCTTCAAAATTAATTTTATAGAAGTAATTAATTTTGAAGGTTTAAATGTATATATAGGTGATTTGTAAATTCCACAACTATCTTGGGAATTCAGTATTATCTACATATTTAAGATAGAAGACTACTTATAAAACTATGACTGTTCATTTCCTCTGTCTGCTTCCCAGGAGGCAATCTGCACAGTACTCTATTAAAAGTTTACTAACCTCAAATATCTTACTTAAAAGTCATTGATCAGAGAGAGCATAAATACTGACCTAAAGTTAGAACAGATAAGAAAAATTTACAGTATTGAGGAAAAAAAAGTTACCATTCATATCTACATTAATTTTCTTTAAAATGAGAATTCCCTCCTAATTTCAAACAAAATGTTTAAAACATCCAAAGAATTCTAATATATCCTGATATGAACCTTACAGAGTTAACTCTATTTAAAAGTGAATCATAGAAAAAGAAAGTTTAGTTTTATATTTCATTGTGTACTGACATTGTGACTTACAGAATTTTACCACTGATTTATTCAGTGCAATCAACTCTATTTTTTTTATCTGAAATCTTGATAAATTTACTGAATATATATATATCAAAGTTTTTCTTACCTTGTCTCTGATATAAAAATTATAGACAAAGGCTAAATGGTCTCAATTTGAAATCAAGGTAGCATCTGGGTAAACTTATTAAGCGTCCAGGTCACTGCTTACCTTGCCAGTGAGAAGTTCAAAGAGGACAGCGCCCAAACTCCACCAATCACAGGCTTCAGTTTCTTCAGTGATTGCTCCAACCTCTAAACACACCAAAAAAGGTTGATATTAAAATTCCAAAGGTCAATTAAACTTTCAAAATTAACATGTATTAGCAAGGTGACCTTTTTAATGCTGAGAGAGCAAATACTAAATACTACTGGGCTTTCAAAATCCCTGAAAGTTACTTATCCCTTTGATCACCTACTGTGGTTGCATTTTTTTTTTAACACAGTCATATGTTAAATGGAGACATTTTTTTCTTTAGTTGTTAGAGGGACACCTTCAAGATACTATACTTAAAAGTTACATGAATGTACTATTATCAGCATTTTGCCTAATTTTTCAAATTTGAGAAGGTGTAGTCAACTCTACCTAAGAGGTCATATTTTGATTTAAAAACAAAGACTCTACATTCAGAAGGAACTGCAAAAATCATTTAAAGCAGTATTAATTATCCTTGCACAGAATAGAAACCAGAGAGGTGACATTCCTTGTCCAATGTCACATAGTAAATCAGTAACAGAACTAAGACCTAGTTCATAGTATCATCCTTCTCTTATATAATTGTTTTCAACTAAAGGAGGAGCATGTGCAATGCAGATTTACCCACTTTGTTATTACAAGTACAGAGAGATATGTTGTTTTAAGCCACAACTGAAACTATGGGCTAAGATAAGAGATTTTAGAGTGTCTACAAATTACAATTTTATCTGTGTTAATCCCTCTCTCATCAGCACAAGTTCTTTAAATGTAATATGAATTCTCAGGTGTCATCTTTCAGGTTTCTCCACAAATCTGCAAAAACTCCTCATTTCACCATTTCTGAGGCTTTTACACCTTAAGTCATGTTTGATGTATTTTTACCCTTTCCTAATGACATTCAGTTAATTACAAAGCCACACACACACACACACACACACACACACACACAAACGTATGTGTATATATATAGGCACATCCTTATGATAGAATACTATTACATAAGCATTTAAAATGATGTATTCGTGCAAGGTTTAAGTATTAATATATTATATAAGTCAACATCTGGATATATTAAATTTAAAAAAAACAAGCTATAAAACAACAGGGTTCTAATTTTAAAATCATGTTGTTGTTTTTTAAAGATTGGTGAGAAAATATGACAAAATATTTTAGTGGTTTGCCTCTGTGTGAGAGTTTTACTTTCATTCCATGCTTCTTAGCCTATATGAATATCCAAGTGGTACAATTTTATTTTATTTTTTAAATATATTTTTATTGATTTCAGAAAGGAAGGGAGAGGGAGAGAGACAGAAATATCAATGTTAGAGAATCACTGATCAACTGCCTCCTGCATGTCCCTACTGGCGATCAAGCCCACAACCTGGGCATGTGCCCTGACCAGGAATCAAACTGGTCTCCTGGTTCATGAGTTCACACTCAGCCACTGAGCCACACTAGCCAGCACAAGTGGTACAACTTAAATGTATAACCAGATGACATGAAAACATTCAGGCTTGTTGAAGTAGGGATGACAAAGCTATAAGTAGGTCAATCCTGCCCGAAACTTTCCTGGCTACATGGTTTCCCCCACAATTTGAATGTTACTATACATTTCAGAGAAATGAACTAGAAATCAGAAGTCCTGGACTAAGAGCTTTGAGGAAGTCACTTGATCTCATTCATAATATGAAGGTTAGTTCTGAGAGTCTCTATGTTAAGTGTAGCTCTACATTCTATAGTTTGGACACCCAAGGATTTCCTAAAACAGTGATTTACTTTAAGAAAAGTTCATTGGGCTCTCATTCAAAGTGCTTATCGTATCCCTCCAAGATTCAAATACACTGCCCACACCCATTCCCAAGTCTCCCACTGCACATTTCCCTCCAGTTTAAGCAGTCAAATCATCCTCTTCCTATCCAAAATTCTGAAATGGCTTCTCATTGACCATTAAATAACATTCACATGTATACAGTCAGACCTCCACAATGAGGTATCACTCTTATCAGCATATATAAACAGCACAAACTAGACTCTAAGCTAGGCACTAGGCATTAACCCTCCATGTGCTGGCCACATGTTAAATAATTTGAAACTAAAATGACATAGGTTGTGGTTTTATCTTTTAGGGTTTTTTTTTTCCTCAAGAATTCAAGTTATTCCATTTTCTTTAATTATACAGCAAGTACTACATATCACTTAGTTTTATAATATATGTGATATCTGTTCACTAGTCAAGATCCAAAATCATCGGTCAGTCATCTATTTTGAATATGATACCAATAAGTCTCACATTCTGTGTTGCTGTGCTCATAGTAGGTACACACAATAATGATCATTGCAACACTAAAATAGCAGTTAACATTTATTGACTACTTACTATATGTAAGGAACTATAATATGTCTAATATTTTGCATGCATTATTTAACATTTCCAACCAAATTTATGAAACCTTATTTGGGTAGGGTGCCTTTGGAGACTATAGTAACTGAGTGCCCTGGGAAAAGAGGAACATCTGACCCAATCAAAAGTGAAAATTAATAAGATGATTTTATAGGGTCTAGCATGCCCCAAAAAGCTCTAGACTAAAGCCATATGCCAACTCTGCTCAGAAAGGTTTCCTGTTAGGACTGAGCAGAGGGCCACTGAAATAAGGCTCCATAATGTAATCGATGGCTAGCAATTTATAAAGATCTTTTTAAATTCAACCAAAGGTACAAGTGTCATTACCAGTGCAGCCTAGACCATCAAAGGGGACATGTTAAGCTAGTTTCCCATATCACTGCTGGGATTTGGAGTGGGTCTGGGGGTGAGAAGGTGTGGGGGTGGGGATGAAATGTGTGTGTGTGTGTGAGGGGGGGGGAGAGGGGGAGATAATTGAAACTACCAAATAAGCACAGTACATCTTACTGAGCATAAAGCCTTTTATATGTGTGGAAGGGAGCTGGATATTGTTTTACCATTAAAAGAAACTGAGATCTATTATAGAACATAATGTAAAATTTACATGGATTTGCAAGATAAAACACTTCAAAGGAACTTCAGGATCACATTTCACTAGTCCCCTGGGGTACCGATATCATATTGCCTCTACAGTCAGAAGTACTTGGGTAGAAAAGTTTGAGAAGCACTTCAAGAGATAGACAAGGTATATTCCTTTATTGATTTCTGTGAACATGCTCAACTAAGGAGTCTGAGTACTGGGTTCATTGGTTTTATCTGCTTTGAAATCCCTCGCAATTTTCTGCCCGAATCTTTAAACAGATAGATAATGACCAACATACTGCATCGAATGTGAACTGCCACAGTGTCTGAATATTTCCTATTAGCATAATATTATTATACATTAGCCCTAATTCTAATTCTTAGATTAAAATTGTAAAGATATACCCTGGAATTGAATTGCCAAAAAGAAGCCTAAGGCTGTGTGGTTGTCAAAAGCACTTCTCTAAGACTGCTTTACTTGCAAAATCTATATAAAAAGTTTAAACATAAACCAAGAATACTGATTTATATATAAAGCTACACAATAGTTGCTACAAACACCAGGCAAATAGTCAGTAGATGTGACTAACTTCAAAAGTAGAAAACTTATAGAAATAAAGACCAAATAAGTTTGTGAAGCTATTTTCAGAATAAAATATGGTGAAGCTGAGAAATCCCTTTAAACTCCTACCTTACATTTTTTAAACCCTAAAAAAAAAAAAGAAAAAAAAAAAGCAGAAACATTTTAAAAGATAAATTCTACCAGTTTTGTCAATTTTCAAAATATTTTTCTTATAACACCCAAGTGTTAAGTTTCCATGCGTGTCCCCTTCACTGCCACTACATTCTACATTTGCAATTTCCAGTGGCTTTATTCTGCACAAGTGTAGCAGTACTACAAGCATCGAACAAAATGATTGGGGGGAAATAAACTATTCCATAAGAAAATAAAACGAATTTCCAGATTTCTTCCCATCTAACCTCAAAAAACGATGGTGATATCAAAGAATCCTAGATATTCTTCTTTTGAGTCGAAGAAATGTACTGATAGACAGGGCTCGAGCTATGCTGCTCTGTGAGCCTGGCTTGGCTCCGTGTGCTACTAAGCTTCTTGGAAAATGAGGACAGCCAGACCTCTAACATTCTTCCTACCTGTAATTTTATGATTCTGAAAGTGTTTTCAAAAGTACTCATGAGCCTTTCTCATAACTTTTCTCCTCTCCATTAACTTAAGATGCCCAAGGAGTGGGATTATGCTAAAATGAGCTAGCAATGCTCAATTTTCCTCTTTCTCCTTTCTAGACCCAACCACTCTTCCTTTTCTCTAAGAGACCTGGTGGCAAGTGAAATGAATCAGTGTCAATAAACCTGTTATTATCTTTCAATGTAATGGAGACAGAATCAGCTCCAGGATAAATTTCCAATCATCTAGAATTTTAAGGAAATCAAATACATGTGAACAGTTTAGTAAAATTCTAGAACTTCCCTTTAGTACAATGATCATATTCTAACACAACAAAGAACCTTACTGAGTCATACTCTTATTCCACAAGTGAATAAACGAGTTCACATAACAATAAAACTATCGCAACGTAAAATGTACTTTGACTACAGTGATTTCACTCACGTTCAACACCTCATAGAACACTCTTCAACAAGCCAGGGTATTTTTCAAAAAAAATTATGCTACCTTGGTAACCCATGTTGTCAAAAGGCTTGCTAAAACATAGGAGAGTTTTATAGTCTTTATAATAATCAGAGTTTACTGAGTCTTCCTCCTATAGCCCAAAATAATCATGTTAACCTGACCCCAAAACCGTAACTATGATAAGCCTCACTCCTGAAAAGTAAAAAAGTATAAAAACAGCTTGCACTCAGGAAACCCTAAAGTGTCTATATCTGTATGAGAAGTGAAGGGAAAAAACAAAGTATCCACCCAGACTTGAGGCAGTAGGAAAGACACGGGACAGACCATCTGATCTCAGCACTACAGACATCATACAGGGTATCCACAGGCTTAGGCCCTGCCTTTTAGGACTACATGATTTAAATTACATAGACCTGTTAAAGACATGA